ATCTACTTTATATTTCACTTGTATTGTGTGGCATTCATGTGGATGGCAAAATAAGAATTTCATTGTACATGGAAACATGTCTCCTAACTGTGCATATGACAAATAAACACTTTGACCTTTGACCTTGACCTGTGTTTTGTGAAATGCAGTGGTGGAAGAAGGAAGAAGTAGTCATATTATTTAAGTAAAAGTAGCAACACCACAATGTAAGAATACTCTGTTACAAGTAAAGGTCCTGCATAAAAATATTACTTAAGTAAAACAGCAGAAGTCTTAATATCAAAATAAACTTAAAGTACCAAAAGCAAAAGTACTCATTATGCACAATGGCACATTTCACATTAATAATACCTGATTATTGGGTAACACTTTACAATACAGTATATCAAAATGTGTGTAGTTTCTAAGGAACAACTGAGGAACACACAAGTAATGCATGAGGAATGAGCTGTGTCGATCATAAGTACATCCCTAATAACTTCTGATGTTATGAATATGCCTCCATATTAGTTAGTGGAGAACTGACTGGGAGACACTATTCCAGTGAATTATTAGCTCCTAATTACTACACATTCTGTATGACTGACTGATCTTTCGTGCAAGAAATAAAACACATAAAGGAAACTTGGCTGTTCATCCCTTATTTCTCCAGACTCACTTTAGAATTTCCTCCACAGTAGTTACTAGTATTTCATTACATGCCATTTATGACGCCATGCGCTGATCAATTATCAGGAGTGTTTACTGAGAACAGGCTTGTGTTCCCTTTTGCCTAAAATATCAATTCAAAATTGATTTGGTGGAATTTTTGTTTTTTATTATAGTGTACACCTAATTACCTTACATTTGTGAATCATGTGGAGGACCTGTACACCTCATGGGTCAAAAGGAGGGCAGAGAAGATCATTGCAGACCCCTCACATCCGGGAAACAATGTGTTTGAACTCCTCCTCTCTGGACGGCGTTACAGGTCACTGTGCGCCAAGACGACCAGGCAAAAGGACAGTTTCTTCCCCCGAGCTGTCACTTTGATGAACACTTGACCCACGACAATATGATTGGACAATAACCCTCAGTGCAATACCTTTCAACAATGCAATACATACATATCAGTTGTTATGAGACATTGTTGGGCATCAAAGGACTGAAGCATAAATGATAAATGTCTCCTGCTCCTGTTGAACAGAACTGATGAAGTCTCTTGGATGAGAGGTGAAACGTCTTCTATCTAAAACCAAGTCCAGTTCGTTTGTTTCTACATTTTTTCAGCTTACTGTTCATCTTGCATTGTCTGCATTGTTTATTGCTTATGTATACTGTTTATTGTGTTATACTACACAGCCTTATGTTGGTATATTGTTTACTTGCCTCTTGCTGTAGCCTTGCATGGGGATATGTACATGCACATTGAAAGCCACTGTAGTGTCAAATTCCTCATGTCCAACACACCTGGCCAATAAAGCTGATTCTAATTCTGATGTGGATTTTATTATTAACAATCATTTATTTTTATCAATGCATATGTGTGAAAATGAGAATTCAAAATGCTAGGTCAACCTATGCTTCTTTTATAGAAAATAAAGTTAAGAAATAAATCTCATATGACAGAAGTCATTTTTAAGTGAAATCTTGAATACTAAATTTTATAAATCAAAAAAAAATTGACAAAAAAATTACAAAAAAACCTCTTTAATGTCAAAATGAAAACAAGTTTCTACAAAGTAATGTCAATTGAATTAAAATATGTTATGTGAAATAAGTGATTGCATAAATA